CCCCCCCCCCCCCCCTCCTGTATGCGTATGTGAATGATATATGATATTTCCTGTATGCGTATGTGAATGATATATGATATTTCCTGTATGCGTATGTGAATGATATATGATATTTCCTGTATGCGTATGTGAATGATATATCCTGTATGCATATATGAATGATATATATGATTAGAAGTACTTTGCAGGATTGGTACAGAAAGGTTAGCAGAATTCTTGCAACCTTTGATCAACAAAGGGCTTCGAAGTGTATTGTTGTTTGGAGTTCCAACTAAATTTGAGAAGGTCGGTAAAATATAGCCCAAGCCTAGAAAACACGGTTGGACACCCAAAAATTTATTTGGGAAAAATTATCTATTGAGCAGCTATATATTTCAGCCCAAACATCATAATTTTAGCAAAAACATTATTTTATTTGTTAGAGCTCTATTAAAACAAAGGTACCATAGCAGTTTGATCTTAATCCCCCCCCCCTGCTCAATATTATGAAACTAGGTTGGGCTTTCTCAGTGTCAAAAGCTTCTTTCTCTCAAAGACTTAAATTGATAGATTCTCCATTAGTTTGTATAAACAATGATGACATAGAGATAGTAGTGGTAATGTAAGGTTAACACGTTTTGATTATTATTAACTTGGCCTAGGACTTGCGGGCTGGGAAATTAAAGGGGGAAAGTCATGCCTGCCCATTCTTTCTGCCTGCGCTCTCGTTCCCAGGGCTTCTCAGCTGCCTGCATTGGCAACGCAGGCAGCCTAAAAGCCCAAGTCCTCCCCAAACCTACTAATAACTATTTAATTTGTTTGACATGTGTGAGTGCTGTCTAGCAGTTGACAATTATTGCTATTTTAGGATTATGGAGGTTCCAGTGCTACAGATCCCAAGAGTCCAGTTCTTGTAGGAATTCAAAAACTACGAAGTCTTTTTCCTGACTTGCTTATTCTCTGTGATGTTTGCTTGTGTGCATACACGGACAATGGACACTGTGGTAACTACTCCTTACTGAAGAGTATTGTGTATAATTAAAAAAAATAAAAACTGTGAACTTTTCAATGGAGCTCGATCGAGTTTAACCCATTACTGTAAGCAGCAATGCGCCCAAATGCGCCCTACTTTACTCTTTTACTTCAAACATTCAAAGCTTCAAACCAGGGTCTTAGCAAGGATTTTAGATCTTGGCCGTGTTTCGAAATGACCAGGGTGTGCACATGTCAATTACCTTGAATAGCCAAATTCACGGTTTTAGTTATGCTCGCCAACAACAGACAATGCGTGTGATTGTTCTATGCTTTGCAACCAAATACAAGGCGAGCATACACTCATATTGCGCACTGACATTAAAATATTAAGTTATTTCAGCAACTCTTGAGCCCAGAATCTTGGGGGTGTTTTTAAAAACATTTTAACACCATAAGATTCCATTACCCGTCAAAACATTAAAACACCACGGATCAGTTTTGCCAATTTCAACTTATGACGTAAATAGGAAGAAATTCTGTCTGTTGTAAGCAGTAACACCTTATTTTATGAACCTACACGGCCTTATATAAATAATGAAGCCGCGTTTATTTTATCTAGCCGTGTTTTTCCATTTTTGGCCGCGATAACACGGCCAACACGGCCCTCTAGCTAAGACCCTGCTTCAAACATTTATTACTGTAACAATACTGAGCTGAAATTGAGATCCGTTGTCGAGCTTGCCGCGTCGTACACACGTAAAAACGCACAAGTTGTAACAAAGTACTTGCAACAGACTTGTTGCAATGTTGTTCCAACAACTTGTCAACAGGATGTGTTCGCACTGCTTGTTCCCAGCTTGCTGATAACTTGCTAGAAGGTTGTTGAGCTCAACATACTTGTTACATTAAGTTGCTCCAACAACTTGTTATCGTCCTGCAGTTCAACAATTCAGTTGTCAACAAGTTGCGAGTGACAACCTGTGCAGGGTTCGTATACGTAGTCTCCAAGACCAAAAAAATTCAAAGACTTTCAAAGATATTTTCTGCCTATTTTCAAAGACTTTTCAAAGACCTTTGAGAGCAATCGGCTGTCGAAAAATTGCGAATGTAAGCTCCATTTTTACCCAGTAATTAGTCCCGTCAAATCACATCCTAAAATGTGCCTTTTCGTCGATATTTGCGAAAATCTTGCTTCAATAAATCTATTTTATTAGCTAGGAAATCGTATAATGAATCATTTACTCACTAAAGAATTTAAAGACTTTTAAAGATTTTCTTCGCTTTTTCACACAATTCAAAGACTTTTCAAAGACCTTAAAGACCTGCATTCAAATTTAAAGACTTTCAAGGATTTTAAAGACCGCTACGAACCCTGTTGTAGCAACTTGATAAAATAACAGCAATGTTGCAACTTATTGACAAGCTTTTGTATTTTTGCGTACACCATATTTGCGCGAAAAACACAACTGTTTGCAGTACCCCCCATTCTTGCGCGGAATTTAAAATGACAACTCTCTTTCAGGAATTCTTAACGAAGACGGCTCGTTAAACAGTGCTAGAAGTAATCATAGATTGGCAGAAGTTGCCGTGGCTTATGCCAAAGCAGGTAATTGTTCTAAATGGCTACTGAATTGTTTTGTAGACATGCAAATATCTCACATCGTGTAGCAAGTCTGCCATCAAGCCGTCAACAAGTTGTTCCATACTTGTTGACAACTTGGGACAAGCAGTGCGAACACAACTTGCTGACGGCTTGTTGGCAGACTTGCTACAAGTTGTGTTCGCACTGCTTGTCCCATGTTGTCAACAAGTTTGTCCCAGGTTGTCAACAACTTGCTAACATCTTGTAACAACTTTGTTAATATTATCAGACTTGTTGCAAGGTTGTTCCAACAATACAGTCGTGATATAACATTATACACTTAATGTCTGCTCCCAAGGGAAATAGTTAGTTATATTTTCCCGAGAGTCTCAATGTTTCCCGAGACGAAGTCGAGGGAAACATTGAGATTCGAGGGAAAACAAAACTAACTATTTCCCGAGGGAACAGACATTAAGTGTTTTGTTATATAGCGACGAACAAAAATTAACTTCAACAACATTATATACAACAATTGTTTTTCGTGGCAAAAACTCTATAGAGTAAACGAGTTTAAAATTAAAGAACCTACTTAAATGGTTTCGGCAGCATATCCTGTTTCCTGTTCTGTATTTTTCTTCCCTTTTACATTCTTTATTTGAACACAAACTTGGAAAATCGTAGTTTCTAATTATCGTAGTTGTGCTGCCATTTTGTTTATTTATGTACGTGGCCGGTCGTGGCGGGCAACAATTTTTCACTTGTTGCCCGGCGGGAAACATTGCATTTATCTGAAGTCACGTGACCACAAATCAGCCAATCACGTTTGGTGTTCACGCTAGCTATATAACAATATCTATTGTTACAACCTTGTACCATCGAACTTCTGACATTCTTGTTATATCGTGACTGTATCAGACTTGTTAGAACAACCTTGTAACAAGTCTGATAATGCCATCAAGCTTGTTCCAAGTTGTTAACAACTTGTTCCAAACTTGTTACAACAACTGGGAACAAGCAGTGCGAACACAAAAATCTCGCACTGCATCTTGTAGCAAGTCTGCCAACAAGCCGTCAACAAGTTGTGTTCACATTGCTTGTCCCAAGTTGTCAACAAGTTTGAAGCAAACTGTTAACAACTTGTAACAAGCTTGATGGTACTATCAGACTTGTTGCAAGGTTGTTCCAACAAGTCTGATACAATATTGGTACAAGTTTGTGTCGTTAACCTTGTAACATTCTTGTTATATCATGACTGCATCAGACTTGTTAGAACGATCTTGTAACAAGTCAATAATAATGCCATCAAGCTTGTTACAAGTTGTTAACAGTTTGTTCCAAACTTGTTACAACAACTGGGAACAAGCAGTGCGAACACAACTTGTTGACAGCTTGTGAACAGATTTGGAACAAATTGTTTGCAGACCTGTAACAACTTGTGCGTTTTTACGTGTGTACACGCGTAAGAATCCCACAACTTGTCAACAAGATGTGTTCGCAATAGGCTTGTAGCAAGCTTGTTAACAGGTTGTAGCATTGCTGTTATTTTATCAAGTTGCTACAAAGTTGTCACTCACAAGTTGTTACAAGCTTGTATATGTATAAATCTTTATTAAAATATTAAAAGCAACACCTCACAACAAACGTGCGGGCTTACAATTTGCACTTACTTATCAATAATTATTATACTAATTACTGTATTAGTATTGATATTATTCATTAATAGAGCTAAAATACCATTATTATAATGTTTAACGTAGTTCCTAAGAAGTTGATTTCTAATTTAAAAAATATCATATGAAGTTAAAAAGACATCTATTAACGAACACTCTTTTAAACCTTTCTGTTCGAACTCTCGGTAGTTCATACTCATGTCCGCGATTGTAAATAATATTTCTAGGTTGTCACGTGGTAGCCCCATCTGATATGAATGATGGCAGAATTGGAATGATAAAACAAAAACTATCTGAAAATTCATTGGACACAAAGGTTGAAGAATTTTCTTTCTGTCACAGTGTCACGGACGAACCCGATACAACCAGGGTGGAAAAAAGAGGCTCGCAGGAAATGTTAATTAAACAGCTGCAGGAAATTCGTTTGAATGAAGATTTGCTATTGAAAATTTGAAGGAAACCCCATGTCTCACAACACTGGGAAAAAATGTGAAATCCATACTATGAGATTTGCAATTGCACCACTAAATCCATAGTATATCCATACTATTTCGATACTATATCCATGGAAATATACAATTATTATGGATTTTCAAAAATTTTTCCAGTGCAATGGGCTCGACAACATATGGTCATTAGACATACATACAGACATTATTATACAGACATTATTCCTTGAATTTAAAACCATGGTCAGCTAGAACACTATATGTTTATGCACATGCAGATTTAGCACAAAAATACTCCGTTGGTCTGCAGGAATTTTTGTCTCCAGGTTGTGCTCGCCGGCTCCTGCCCTGGATATAACACGGCCGCTCATATTGTAAATAGTATTTTAAATACCTTTCTTAATTTGACAGGTGTCTGTGATGAGCTACAGTGCAAAGTTTTGTTCAAAATTTTATGGCCCTTTCAGGTGAAGAGATACATCATTGAAGTTGAATCGGAGAGTTTGTCACATAATGCTTTGATTAAGATTTTGTTAGCGTCTCACTCGATTGAATACACATGTAAAAACGCACAAATTGTTACAGGTCTTTAAACAAGTTGTTACAAATCTGTTCACAAGCTGTCAACAAGTTGTGTTCGCACTGCTTGTTCCCAGTTGTTGTAACAAATTCGGAACAAGCTGTTAACAACTTGTAACAAGCTTGATGGCATTATCAAACTTGTTCCACGGTTGTTCTAATAAGTCTTATACAGTCATGATATAACAAGAATGTTACGAGGTTGACAACACAAGGTTGTAACAACATTGTTGTATCATGACTGTATATCGGACTTGTTGGAACAACCTTGCAACAAGTCTGATAATATCAACAAGGTTGTTACAAGTTGTTAACAGCTTGTTCCAAACTTGTTGACAACTTGGGACAAGCAGCGCGAACACAACTTGTTGACGGCTTGTTGGCAGACTTGTTACAAGATGCGAGATTTTTAACTGTGTAGTTGAATGGTGTTGTTGATGGAGTTTATCGAGTGGAAATTTTATATACTTAACAAATAGATAAGATTTTGCGGTTGTCTGTTCAGTTACAGATCCACAATATGACGTCATAATGTTGCAACTGGCGACGAGCTTTTGCAACTACCCATGCTTTTGCAAATTTCGCTGAATTTGCAGTTTAGCGTGGACATTTCGAACTGCATGTGCAGTTTTTTATACACCCTGTATGCATAGATAGCGAAAAGTGCGCGAAGTGAGAATCTTCAAGGGTGAATAGTTTAGAACGTAACTGACGCAATATATCTAGAACACATTTGGTGAATTTTCCTCATTAGAGACGCTGCTCAGAGTGCTCCGTCACAAGGTGACCGCAGCTGCTATCAACTGCCTCCTGGTTCAATGGGGTTAGCAATGCGAGCCGTGGTAAGCATACGATTTAGGCGCCAATTACATGGAGCACTTTCAACCCCGGAGTTGAACTCAGCCCTGTTAACCGTGTTGAATTTTTTTGCAATTACATGGACGATTTCAACCCCCGCGGTTGAAATGCTATACGTTCCCGGCATTGATTCCCGGAAGTAAAAAACGATTACATGACCAAATTTTCAACCCAGGGCCGAGTTCCACCCCGGGTTGAGAGATTTCAACCCTGCTAGCTGAAGCAGGGTTGAACTCGATCAACCCCGGGGTGGAACTCGATCGTTTGGTTTTGATAAGGTTGGCTGAAATTTCAACCCGGTCAACAGGGCTGAGTTCAACCCCGGGGTTGAAAATGCTCTATGTAATCGGCCCCTTACAGGCTTATACACGTAAAAAACACATAAGTTGTAACAAATCTGCTGCACACTTGTAACAATGCTGTTGCAACGACTTGTCAACAGGATGTGTTCGCACTGCTTGTTCCCAGATTGTTGTCAAGTTGTCAACAGCTTGTTGACAACTTGGTACAAGGTTGTTGAGCTCAACAGACTTGTTGCAAGTTGTTCCAACAACTTGTTATCTTCCTGCAGCTCAACAATTTGTCAACAAGTTGTGAGTGACAACCTTGTAGCAACTTGATAAAATAACAACATTGTTACAACTTGTTGAGAAGCTTGTTGCAAACACACATCTTGTTGACAAGTTGTGAGATTTTTACGTGCGTATCAAATGGCTCAGACATTTTAAGATTGTATATCGAAGAATTAAAAAAAGGAAGTTTGATTATATTCACCTTAGGAACGAGATGTGAACGAGGGTGCAGATATGTTGATGGTTAAGCCAGGGTTACCTTATTTGGATGTTGTGCGCAAAACTAAAGACAAGGTTGAAATTTTAAATACAAACTGCCCATTTGATATCAAACTTTTTTATTGTCATGCCTTTTTCTGTCAAATGTTCAGGTCGATGTTTCACTAATTTTCATTGTTTGCTCATGTAGTTTCCGAATTTACCGTTAGCAATTTATCAGGTATTTATATATTGAAAGCTTTTATATCTTCTTGTGAACAGCTTTCTTTTACAGTTTAGATGCAAAACATTACCCTGTTATGAACTGTTCTCCTAGCTTAGGGACCGGTCATTATTTATGGTCGGAGATGGAAGAGAAAAGGGTTGGGTAAACAAAATTTTGAGTGAGTAAAAGGTTGGGCAAATGAAAAACAAAACAACTCAAGGGTTGGCTAATCAAAATTTATTGTTATTTTCAAAGCATGACTCGCTTTTGATAATGTTGAAGACTAAAAAGCAATGTCACCAGTCATATGTCAATACAATATGTAAATCAATCAGAGTCACTATCTTGAAAGAAAGTACATGACTGTGCAGACAACAGGAAACTTTAGACTGCAGACAATTGCACAATCAGTTATCAAACTCGTGTCACAGGAGGACATGTGTGACAACTGAATGGTATCCTTTTGTGACGTTTTTGGTGAGGGGCAGCAAACTTTTTACCAAGAAAAAGACCCACAGCCAGGGGCGAAACTAGTCCCTTTTAATTAGGGGGTGTCTGCTAGAATTGCCCTGCGAAAGCCGATGATGATGCCCTAAAAATTTTTTTGGGGGGGCATTATTTCTCCTAAAAAAGTTGACGAGCGGGGGGGGGTCCGACGAAAAAAAAGGGAATTTTTCGGACATAAACCAGTTAAATTAAGGGTCAAAAATTTGTTTCGGACAAATTCCTGTTAAAACATGCATGAAACCTTTATTTTTGTACCAATATTTGTGAAATTTAGGTCTATAAATTCTATTCAATTCCCTCTGGAAGCTACTTAATAACTCTACATTCTATAATTTAAAATCTTTCATTGCCCTGCCAATCCAGATGATTTGCCCTGCCAATCCAGCTTTGGGGGATGTCACCCC